ATGATCACGTACCCGTCGTGTGCAATTGAACCTTGCCCCTCTCGTCGGGTCTCCTGAAGTCCTATCACATCACAGCCGGTCGCCGAACAATCTGTNTGTACGCCCCTCTTGTCCTTGGTGCCAGCACGGGCGCCATTCCAGATGATTTCGTACCCGTCGTGTGCAATTGAACCTTGCCCCTCTCGTCGGGTCTCCTGAAGTCCTATCACATCACAGCCGGTCGCCGAACAATCTGCATGACCGTCATCACGTTGTGACCGATAGGGTTCCTACCGCTGTAGGCGAGCGTGCGTACGTTGAACGTGCCGAACGATAGGTCGCCCTCTCATGCCTTCTTCTTCGCAGCCACCTTGACGGCCGCTGCGGTCTCGTGTCTCTCTCGGTCCACCTCGCGTTGCGGGTGTGCTTTCTTCCGTATCATCCGAGCGGCGAGTTTCAGTTCAGTTGAATTCATTATATTTTTATGTCTCGTGGCTGCTAGCTCGCTCTTCTTGTTGGTGTCGCACGACCACCCCAAAACCAAAACCTCGACGGTCACCCCTTCTGTCCAGAACAGAGTTTCTTGTTGGAACTGTGTGTAGTTCGACAGGCGCTAGTCTATACGCGATGTTGTACATAGTTTTTTTTTTTTCTGGCGTTGCGCTGCTGTGTCTGTCATCGCTGATCCCGCCTTCATTTCCGGACGGTTCGTCCCGAAGAGAACACTCAACTCCACAGCAGTTGCCCGCTCCCTCTAGTCTAAACAAAGACGTCCAAAAACTCGTTTACACCATGGTTCTTCGCCATGTCATCATTCTGAAAGCAAGCTCGGTCACGATCAGTATGCCGCTCCGCTGCGTGACAATTCTCAAAACAACCTACACAATGGCACACCCACACATCGTTGGCACAACAGTTCATGACTCAAGCCCAAGCCATCGTGAAATATGGTTCACAGTAGTAGTACATTATACGTCTGTTCAACAACCAGGGCGTAAAACCCAAGCCGCCGGTACTGGTTGTACTCTACAAAGCAGCGATCGACTGACCTTCGTTATGCTGTCGCAACAATCCACCTCCACCTCCCTCCGTTTCCAAAGAAACGGGTTGCTTCGCTGCCTGCCTATATCATTCATACGCCAGGCACGTAGCGACGTCTCTCCGGGGAGCAAACGGCTTGTATACCTGCTGTAGTAGTAGGTTCGTGCCACAGCTCCAATTGTCACGTACGTTATTACTTCCGGATGTTTTTTCTTGATCGTGAAACGGCCTCGTCAACCAGGGTCTCCGTTCTTACCATAAGACTAGTCTTTTTTGTAGGCATGCCACATGGTGACGAAATTCTCTTTCTCAGCAGTGTTTGGCCACGGGCGAGGATGGTTGTGACCATACTTGTACAGTAGATGGTTTCCAAACATGTCACAGGATCTGGCCATATCCGCGTCGGGTGTGCACCAGTACGTACGAGCGTGATTTAGCACGTGTAGCGGGCAGAGCAGGAAACTGACAAGCAGTATAAACGAAACGAAACATGAACGGTTTACCAGCAGCAGCCGTTCCAGCAGTACAATTGACTTGCTTTCTTTCGCTGTGGTCCACTGTGCTGTACATAGACGACACCCCAACATCCTCCTACGCGCAGAGTGGAGCGCTCCAGGGCCTCAAGGAGGCCACTGCTATACAGGACATTTCGAGGGTATCTTGCGTTCTGAAAGAGGCGTATGTGTCTGTGCGTGTGGAGGACAACGGACCAGAGCCTCCGGGGGGTACAGCAGTGCACCCGACCAGTGGAAAAGCTCTGGAAAAATTGGGGTATTGTGCTCGAAATTTTAGTACACCGCGACCAGCAGCCAGGTTTGTCCCGCCGCCTCCCACAGCCGTTTCACTCATCACTCCATTCCTCTACACGGGCAAACCACGCAGTGCGCCTTTCCCAGCATTAGAACTAGGGCGAAGGACTGCTGTGAAGTGCACATAGCGCGGCGCCCTCAGATACCCGCTGAAAAGGCAGCGGTCGGCAGATCTCTCGCGCTTTCATCACGGCTGTGGGACCCCGTTCGTCCGTTTGACAAGACACAAGATCGACAGCCGAACAAAACAAAAATCGTGCGGGGGTGGCAAACAACGCCCACTGCTTTGTGAGAGGAGGAGACGCATTTCACGAGCAAGCCAACCTCTCCTTGTACGTGATGAAGCATCCGCGTCTATCGGTTATCTTATGCTTGATGGGTGCTGCCTCAGCCGGCGGTCGGCGGCGGTGGGACCGTAGCCGTATGCTCGCGGATGCCACGCCAACAACGTCAACAGCACCTTCGAGCCTGTACAGCAGCACCAGCAGCAGCAGCGCCATAACCGCCGTAGCATCAGGCTCCGTCTCCACCGCGATTCTCTCCGGCTCGTCATCAGCGACGGCTACCTTCACTACTACCTCAGCAGGCGCTACTGGTGAGCGAGCGACACTGCTGCTGCTGCTGCTGCTGGGGAACAAAAAAGTTGCAGTGTACAGCACCAGCAGCAGTTGCATTGAGACAAAGTGTAACGATTACTGATGTAGACTTTTGCACATAGCTAGATCCTGGAGGCGGGATGCCGCTGCTGAACAGCCGTACGCGGCGTCCATGGAAGGTGTTCGTACATATGGTTCTATCCCAAGGTGGTGCGTGTGTGCTGCATGTAGACTATATGCAGCAGCGTGCAGCCCATCATTGCCCAGAATAACGGCGTTAGATAGACAAGACATAACCGATGCAACGATCGGTCGTTTTTTTTCTGCCGGATGGTCTGGTCTGCTCACCACCGCTTGACAGTAGATACCTACACCCGGACCAGCGAACGGACGCCTGCCGTGGTCGCTAACCAACCGCCCAAAAGCAAAGGGCGCACGCACCCCTACGCAGCACCAACGAGAGGATCGGAAGGACTCAGAGATGTCAACCGAACGCGATGATGTTGTATAGACTAACACAACAAGATATAAACAAGAAAAAATACCCCAGAACGTCAGGTGTGGCCCGCGAGGGCCGCGGACGATAGTAACTGCTTGTGCGTGTGCACCGACGACACTCCTTGCCGGAGTTTTTTTTCTCCCGTCCTGAACAGCAGCCATGCCAACACCACAAAAGTTCTTCGACGAAGTACAATCAAGGCAACCTACCGACCGCTACAGCAGTGCAAATCAAGTAGCAAAAATTGGGAATCTTGGGGAAGTAGCAAACAAATTTCTCTCGCGGGTAGTCTGCGGCAAGTGGAGATGTTGTTGCCTCGTCTCTTTCGCTAACAATACGCCCTTTCCCTTTGCAGCTATTGAGATTGGAATTCTGCTGCGATCCACTGCTGGGGGTACTGAGACTGATGTGCAACATGTGACGTGTATCGGGCTAGTCTGCGGCAAGTAGAGATGTTGTTGCCTGGTCTCTTTCGCTAACAATACGCCCTTTCCCTTTGCAGCTATTGAGATTGAAATACTGCTGCGATCCACTGTCGAACAACCTGCCTTGCCTGGGTGCAACAATAACGACGGCTACAGCAGTAAATAACTATTCGATGGTTTCGTGGACGGACGGATGTTACAGTACTGATCTATGTGCTTCGCGGTTCGTTTCGACATTTGGCTGAAAAAGATGAAGACGATGACGGTTCTGGCGACGATGACCCTGCCGACGATGACTCTCAAGGCGATGACGACAAGGAGGACGACGATGACGACAAGGAGGATGACGATGACAAGGAGCAGGACGACGATAGCGACAACGGGGAGGAGGACGACGACGACGAAGAGGGGGACGATGGCGACGAGTTGGACGACGACCAAAAGGAGGACGACGGCGAGGAGGAGAGCGATGCCGACCAGGAGGAAGACGACGACGAGGAGCAGGAGGAGCACGGCGTTTCGGACGGCAGTTTCTCCTCGATCCAAGTCTTGAGACCGTCCGATGGGGAGGTGCTGATTTCCGAAAGCAGTTACGAGGTGCGAGGGCAACGATTCGAGCTATGAACTAAACGCGAACAAACGGCCGTGAGCCATCTGCTCTATCGGATGCTTTCGAGAAATTTATTCAACGCCGTCAATTGGAACAGTAACTTCATGTACCGAATCACGGTGCTGAACCCCCAACGCTTTCATCAACCGTTGTTCCCGCCCATGCCTTCCCTCTGTCTGCGTCCATTCAGCCAATCCACGCCAAACAACGGCACACAAATCGGACCTACCTCCAAACATGGCTACCTATACAACCGTCTCTACCGTCGTGAAGTAAACGCCCATCAACAAAAAATTCAAAACGAAACAACAATCACAGGTAACCTGGGCCGTTGACGGCGAGGAGGGGAGCAGCAGCCCCGACGTTTTTCACGTTGACCTCCATGACTGCGGAGACAACCAGGCGTGCGGCAGCGGTAGCGGCAGCGGCGACGGCGGCTGTGTTGGCGAGGGCCTGGTCCAGGCGCTTTGCCCCGAGGAAGGGTGCTACTCCGACGGCGGCGGCGGCGGCGGCGTCACGTGGGTCACCTTGCCAAAGGTAAAAAAAGCAAAGGCATGTGCTGAGGAGGAGAGCCACAAAAGGAAAGGATCAGGTGTTGTAGTCGGTTGGTTTGACGGGGCTAGAGAGAGTTGGAGGTAAGAAAGGCATGCTAAGGGAGGTAAATCACAAAGAATTGAAATATTGTGTAGCTTGACGGGGCTAGAGAGAGCTCGAGGTAAGAAAGGCGCGCTGAGCGGGGGATCCACAAAGGAGACGCAATGGGAGGGGGGTTGGGCGGGTAAGGTATTCTTGCTTGCGATTGCTGCTGGAAAACATTAGGAAGACAGCTGAGTGCAAGAGGTTTTTCGCTTTTTATTGCGCGACGACGCGCATGTGACGATCGGCACGACCGACCGACTTTGTTTGCGCCTCGTGGACGCCGATGCCACTTTCATTTTGGTGCCGCTGTTGCTTTTCACCGAGATCTTTTCCCCCTCCCCTTCGGTCGACCCACGTTCGTTCAGGTCGATGATGGGCTTGGACCATACTTCAAGATTGCGGTATCTCCGGACGACGGAAGCAACGATCCTGGGTGCAGCGGGTCGTTCACGATAGAAGCAGCAGCAGGAGGTGGGTGCACACATGTGTAAGAATTGAACAGGCCGACTTGACGATTTTTTTTAGTGCATCGCAGTCAGTATGAAGGCGACCCTCACATCCTTCACTGCTTCCGCCCATCCCCTCCCCCCGCCCAAGAAAATTAGGATGTGACCAAATGCACGAATTTTTGTGTAGTTTTTGTTGACGGGGGAGGAGGGGAGTTCAGGAAATATCTCAGTCCTCGACCAAACATATCAGGGTGAAGCCACACACAGACCATAGAGTTTCTGTTTTTTACTAACTCGAAGTATTGGCGCAACGCAGCAGTCTGTATTTTCGCCTGTAGAAAAACCAACTTGATCAGGCGTGCTGTGCCTCAAGAAGCCCAACCCGACCAACAATCGAGACTGCAGCTGACTGAGGGTGCAAAGATCTCGCACGAACCCCCCTTCCCGCGGGCCGTTTATCCCACAGTCCCACAGCAGTGTCGGGCCCGTCGAGCATTTGCGACAAAACATGTGTACTATTTACCACTTGCGATATCCCGAAATTCATGTCATCTAAGACAATGGTGATTAGTGACCTAGTGTACCACAAAGAGAACCTGGGCGAGCCATGGTGCGCATTTCCATGCAAGAAAATGCCCCCCACCCCCATTCTTACAACCACATGCTCTGGCCCGACTCCAGCAAAGGGGCAGGGCTCGTTCTTGGTTTGCTGTTTGGAACAAGTACTTCCCCGGCCAGATCAAAGTTTCGAGGGTGCTCCGGCCAATCTTCGTTTATCGGGGTAGGGCGTGAGAGCAAGCTTGAAATGTATCAACCAACCTTGCTGCTCACTTCACTCCTGTTGGTTCTTGCAGTACTTTGTGCGCTAACGTCCCTCCCCTGTTTCGTTCATTTCGTTGGCATGCAAACAAACCATCCTGGCCTTCCTTCGTCGGGATGGACGTGGTCGACTGAACAGAAGAAGAGACGCAGGAAAGTACCGGCGAAGGCGACGACGATGAGGCAGAAAGCCTCGATGACGACGACGTGGAACCTGAACCGGAAGATGAAGATGGCGATGAAGATGACTGGTGCGACACCTTGGGTACCATCCCATACCCACTGGAGGGAAACTTGACGGTGAGCGCTAGTCGTCGGGAGCGGTACAGCGGTCGTCGACGCGAGCGGAGTGACATTTTCTCCTTCGAGTCATCGCGTGTGGAGAAACAACGAAACACAGGCGTCCGGAAGGAACCTCGTTCCTTCTCCTGATCATGACGATATGTTATTATGCTACGGCAGAGCAATCTGTGGGGCGACGCCGAACCGTACCGCCTCTGCTGCAGGTGTTTGAGTGTGCACATGCCCCCCTATGTCGCAAGCCTATCTGACGGTGCCCCCCTCTCACTCCTGCCTGGTCTCCTCGTTGTCGCCTTTCGCACAAAAATGTGCGTTTGTATTGTTTCTTCCGTCAACACACGAAACAACAGGTGGCGCTGCCCATCGACGTGACGCAGGTGTCATGCCCCTCGCCCTTGACGGTCCGCGTGGCCGGGGGCACGCTGACTGTAGCCGTGGACAGCGAGGTATGTCCGCACGAACACAATAATAGCATAGTAGCAACATGATCGACGGGACGGCATCGCTTCGTTGTTTCGCGAGATTCGTTGTTGTTGATGTTGTTGTTGTTGTTGTTGTTGTTGTTGTTGATATATACTGCCCTCGTCGTCGGCGTCGTTGCTGGTGTTGGCTGTGCTCGTGCTGTTGTACTTGAGTAACTTCACACGCACACAGGACGAGCGCTGCTGTGTGTGGTGGCCGGCCGAACACAGCGTTATCCGTAGTGGGCCGTCCGCCGGCCTCTTGACGAGTGCAGGCGAGCCGACAACTTTGCTTGATTGGTGTTTTACTCGTTTTTGCGTGGTCCGATTGCCGTTCCTGGGCACGTAAGTCTCTCTCGCGAGTGGTACTCTGGTGCGGTCTCTTGTTGCTCCTCCGTGAAGGATACAGTTAGTGGCCTGGGGCAAATTGGTAACCCACCTGTCAAGCAACATGCTCTATACAGCGGCCACAAAATCCCGTGGTAACCCTGCACCCTGACGAACTGCCACTACTTACAGTATTCCGGCAATAGCGACCTACAGTCCTGCCCCAAATAGCGACCATTCTCCCTCTTGACGATGGGGGTCCCCAAAACCGGGCCCGCCACTGATCTTTGAAACTGCCGGACTGACCTACCTGACCCATCGACCGACCACGCACGTACGCGCCAGAGCTGGCGTCGTCGTCTCAGTATTTGGTATGGAAGGAAGGCTTCAGCATAGTAACAAACCCGTCGTTTATTCCATCCAGCCGGTCGATCATGTGCCAGTTAGACGCCACCCCCGCTTGCTTTTCTGGGTTCGTCCTTGTCTCCGGGCACGTGTTTTGGTCTTGTTCTGGCCTTCTTTTGTCTGCAAGGTGGGTTTTTGCAACCACCGCCGGGCTGGCTGTTGCCGGACTTAAGCAAATTGAGCTGGCGTGAAAATATACAAGAATCGACAACCAAACCAACAACACCGACCGGGTCGATCACGAGGGAAAAGCACGCAAAGTTCACGACGACACGCAACAGCAACAACAACAACAACAACAACAACAACAACAACAACAACAACAACAACAACAACAACAACAACAACAACAACAACAACAACAACAACAACAACAACAACGAATGGTATCTGCCTCTTTGCAGGAGGTGATATTCAGCGGGGTGCGCTTCGTGGTCGAGAGCGCGGCCAGCCTGATCTTCAGCGCGAACGCCTCCACGGAGTTCACCGGCATCGACAACCTGGTAGGCACAAGTTTTTTTTTGGTGTTTGCGTCCAGCCAGTTCGCGCCTTGCGTCGTACAATACCTCTTGGTTGTGTGCTTCAATCATCTGCCTTGGGTGCAAGCAAGGGGTGTGACAGTGCCCTTTTCCATTGCGTCGCGAACAGGGACGGCCAATCACTTCAATCCCTGTGACTCCGATTGTTAGTGATTGATCTTTCGTATGCTTCACGCAGTAATAGCTTGTTGGAATTAAAAACTAGGATCGACACTGCTCCGGGTGGGTGGGTGGCGACTTCCAAAAAAAATCCCTCAACTCCTGTTGTCCGTGGCGCTGCACTGGTTTTTGTGTCTGCTGAGCTGGTGACACGTTTCGAGGGTACCGCTGTAGCCGGCGGTTCTGGGTTGTGTTCGCGACGCCTACTGCTTGTGTGAGACCCCGCTAAGATCCGCCTGTCTTGGCCAGTTTTGACTGACTTGACTCTTTTCGGTGGTAGGTGTGCCGTGTGTACTGCTGGGTGATAAGTAGATCGTCAGTCAGCATGCCTCCGAACGAGCACTGTACGACGGCAACCATCTCGACAACAACAGTATCAATCTGCGCAATACTGGAAAACAGATTGAAACCAACCGCAAACTGTCTGCCGCATCCATCGCTCACCCGCTGCTGCTTCCGGCGCGCGTGTTTCGCAACGCCCCCGTCACCACCAACCACCGACCATCATTCCCACATCAGCAAGGTGATGGTGGGGTCTTGAACGTGTCCGAGGACGGAACCGTCGAGATGAACGGGCTTGCTATCTTCCGCAACAACTCCGTACAGGTGCGACGAGAAGAGACTGAGAGAGAGAGAGAGAGAGAGAGAGAGAGAGAGAGGGTGTACCCATAGCCGCGTGCATGCTGTAGTCGTTTTTCACCGTTGACCTCGGTGTGGGATTCGCGAACCAACCCCACGGGGGGCAGGTGGAGAATGATAGTCGCGAAATCGAGAGGGGGGCAAAACCAAACAGAGAGGCGAGATTTAGAGGTGGACAAACGTACACGCACTACAGAGGGACTAAATGGAGGGAGAGGGGCGGAGACTTGGTGACAGTAGTAAGCAGACCGCACCGCTTTTTTCTTCCGTGGCTATTGCGATGTGTCCGCTCTTCTCAAACACTCGTTGGCACCAATCAAAGCTCGAAAAACCAACCCTGCAGTGCTTTGACACCCAACGTGCATGAATGTTATAGCATCGACTGCGCTGACGTGCTGACCAACAGGCTTGGTTGCAGTTGGGTGAAGTCAGAAATAATTGCTTCTGTAGGGCATGATGTGGGACCCCGTGTGTGTGTGTGTCGTTGTCTCGTGTCCCGCTCGACTCACGCGCCAGCGATGAAGCTCGGTAGATCCTAGAGCACTTGAAATACTTCGCGTCGCCCAGCTACTAACTACCACGGCCACCACCATCACGCCTCCCCTCCTCTCCGATTGACGACGAAAAACAGGAAAACTTGCCTTGTCCCTCTCCTCCCCCTGCTTCTCGTTGACACTGCTTCCCTGTGGAACCAAAATCAAGCATGTACGCGTGACCCCGGCTGATACACGCCCATCCCGGGACGGTACAGATCGGCACAACAATTACTTGCTGGTTAACCGCACTGAGACTGATGTTTTTTCCTCGATTGGCAGTTAGCGCGATCGACGCAAAAAAATAAAAAAGACACACACACACACACACGTGCATGGTGGCATCGTGTTGTAGTCCTCCCACCACACCCACACACGAATCAACGCACGCACCGACCTTCCAGGCAACCACACCAGAGGCCCCCTGCAGCGGCGGGTCGATCTACAACAAGGGCATCGTCCACCTTCGAGGAGGGGCAACCTTCGCCGACAACTTCGTCCACGGCTACCACTACGGCGAGGAAAAGGAGGAGGAGGAGGAGGAGGAGGAGGAGGAGGGGGGGACGGCGGGAGACGGTGGTGCCCTCTGGAACGGTGGCAGGTATGATGCGCCATGTACGATGTTGGATGTGTGCGTACAATGTGCGATCACCTTCTTCATATTGGACGTATGATCGTCATTGGACGTGTTGTTCAGGGCGCCGAAAACAGCTCCGTCGCCCCCTGTGTGACTGGGATTTGGTCTTGTGTATTTTGAAAGCATTGCCTGCGAGTTGGTTGGGGGAGGGAGCCCCGCGGTTTCGTTGCCATGAGCTCCACCAGTCAGGTAAGGGACTAAGTGACTGACTTGATAGGCAGGTAGCCCGTGAAAGGTTGTGCATGGGGCGCATGATATGCTTTGCTGCCTCGGCGCTTTGCTGCCTCGGCGCCTCGGCGAGGTGGCTTGCAAACCTGCTGAAGCTTGTTTTTCTTGCGTACAGAGTTGATTGTTCTTGTAGTTCCCAACCTCTTTAACTCCGTCTCGTACCTTGTCTTTTATCTCTGACTTGCACCACTGTCTGTGTCAGTCAATCTCCGTGGGTAACTCGTTCGTTTATTTATCCGGGCATGAATTTATTCACAACGTAGCACGTGGACGGTCGTTAGGGGTTGTCGCCCCGCTGTCGGCTTGAGAAAAAAAAATAGCATCGCATCCATCCACAACATCACCCCCGTCAAACCAGGACCCGCTTTTTGACTATAGCAGCGGGGTCGTCGCATCTAAACCAGAAACAGAAAAAATAAACAAGTATGGTAGAAGCCACAGAGTAACACAAATCGCTCGTGCTGACCGGTTTTTCCTACAGACCGGGCCCACAGTAGTTGAGAGAAATATTTCGTAAAGTGAACCAGAGGCTAGAATTTAGAACTTACGGTAGAGGAACACAGCTCGGCGGTTGATCCTCCACCATATTTATCTCAGGTACACATCTATCTATCATATAGATCAACCTGTAGTCGGCAGCCGTGCTGGCGATGAAATATGAAAGTGAGCCTCCACCCGACGTTTCTTGCTCATCTCCGGGCTTGTGCTGTAGGGACTGCCTACGCGAAGAAAACAAGCATATGATGAAAAAAAAAATAGGCAAGGGGGCACCCAGACCCTAACCGATGCTACATGTCATCCAGTATGTTTTCTTGCTTAGAAAAACTCTCGTATCGTATGTCCAGCATAATAAAAGTAGCTCGCGGAGCTGCCGATAGTACTTATAAGAAATACTAATGTACTTTAAAAGAAATACTAATCCATGCCGGGGGTCGAACCCGGAATCTCCCGCTTCGTAGGCGGACGCCGTATCCAATTTGGCCACACAGACGGTGTCACATGTGTTACACGATTGTATTTAACGTCTTGTACGCTCACTAGGGTGTTCTTAGCATATTGTGGCCGGTTTTCCCTGGAATCTGGTGTACTGTATTTCAACACATTTGACACTTTTTAGCGATGTTTTTGAGAGTAAAGGCGTCACGAAGAAAATAAAAAAACGATGGCGGAAAGAACCCCTGCAGCACGAGGAAAGTGAGGCTGACGGAGGCAACTCGGTAGGCACAGCTACATACCATACCGCCCCCACGCCATTGTTTGGCTCATTGGCTCTGTATCCCAGTTTGGTTCAAATAGCAATACGCATAGGGGGCCCCGTCGGGGATGGAAGTGCAGTGCCTCCCCCCCTGTAGTCCGGGGATGGCAACCGGACGTCCCCTGATCAAAGCACACGGCATCACCAGGGTTGGTTTGGCTTGTATCCCCCCCCTTTCCAGAGCTGGCCCTCTGACGTAGTCTGGGTCTGCTCCAGGAGATTAAGATTCATCGGGAGGCATGCACGAAAAGCTTCGTAAGACAAGCCTTGAGGGGGCCGCGAGGTGTCCGCCTCGTTATCTCTCTGTAGTCTCCAGGCAGGCAGGCCCACATGACAGACGCACACACAGAAATTGAAGCAGCACACGCCTTAGCGAAATCGACTCAGCACAAAACTCGGGGGCCTCGGGGTCTCTGTGGGTATATGTGCTCGTCACCCCCCCCCCCTCCCCCTCCGCCCAGATTTGATAAGTTTGTGGGTGTGCGTCTTGAACCCTTCACAACACAACAGGCCAAGGGATTATTCGCACGTTTTCTCTATTTTTGCCAGTGGTGCAGCCGTAACGACGTGACTTACTCAATACGCCTCCAGCCGCACTTATTTTTTTTGTGGGAATATATATGTGTTTGTTTTTCGCCCCCCGTCTTGCTGCACCCCCTGGGGTGTGGTGCAGGGCGGGGGATGCCTGGTCGGCGGGAACCCGGCACGGAACGCTCCGGCGTTGTAGGCGGGTGTGGGAAGCGTTCCCCGTTCTCCTTTTATTTTATTTTGATCGGTCTCCTCGACGCTCTTTCTCGTTTGGTGCGGTAGCTGGTCTTTCTTTCTATCATTTTGTTTCTCTTCCGAGTGGTTTTTGTACCCTATTTTTTTCTGTTTCTTCGTGGGGTCGTGTATGCCGGGTTTTGAGACCACGGGCTCCCAATTTTTTTTTTTTAGAGCTAATGTGAGAAACAACAACAACAACAACAACTTGGCCGCACATCCGACCTGTAATACATGTACATGCATTTTGTTTTTCGCACGATAGCAGTTGATGATTCTTCTTGGCAGAAAAAACAGCTGGCAAAAACTTGAAAAACATTTTGGCAACAAGAATCTTACAAAAAAAAAGCTTGCCAAAAGGACATGTTCCTTCCGAACAATATGCACCTCGCGGACAGTGTATCGATAGGTTCGGGATGCGGGAAAAATGCCTTGTCACCGACATTCGAAACTCCCGCACTATTAGACCGTATGTAAGGGTCACAAAGAAACGCCAAAAAATGATGAAGTACCTGTTTTTCTTCTGTAAGCAGAGTGCCTAGACGATGTGCATCAATTCCTTCAAAACGCTCTCGCGGCTGCACGCGCACACCAGGCGCCCCGGCAAGTCATAAGCAGTACATGCCTCGGAACCGAAAACAACTCCTTCCTCTATTCCTGTGTACGACGTACGCCGATGTGTGATGATCAAATTTGCTAGGATACTGTTCGATGCGGGAGCGAACCTGGAGGGCAACGGGGTCGAGGGCGGCGGAAACGGTGGCGGTCTGTGGAACGAGGGCTTCGTCAAGTTCGGCCAAGAGGCGACCTTTACTCTCAACGTGGTGCGTGCGCGGGGGAGACTGCGTAGATCCCCGCTATTCACGAACTACGCCAGGCGTCCACAAACAACGCTTACTCTTTGGTGGACGCTACGTTGTTCATGCACTACTACTGTAACTCAACAACTCTGACATGGGGGCATGAACCCTTCGATATACGTCTGTTTTCCTACCTACCTCTGTGCGAAGAAGAAGCTACTACGGCAGTACCGAGGCCCAGATTTCCTCGACGGAATCGGTGGGGTACATGAGAATCTGCCCACACGGGCGGGGTCGTAGCTGTACTTGCCCCGTCCACCCTTTTTATGGGAACTTGCCCGAATGTTTGTGTTTTTTGCTGGCTCCCCCATTTTTCTCCGTGTTCTCTGACAATTGTACGTGGTATTCAACAACCGTTTATTTTGCGCTTGTTTCCCGCAGGTCGAGGGCAGTGGCGGGGGAGGAGGCATGTTCAACCAGGGGGGGCTCGTCCGGTTCGAGGGAAATTCGACCTTAAACCAGAACGAAGCTTTCGTGAGTGTTGTGTCTCTGCCGTGTGCTTATGTTTTTGGTTATCAACATCGACCGCGCTATCAGGCTGCCTGATGAAAGATGGCAGTCTTGCAGCGGCGAAAGAACGCGAACTAAGGGTTCTATGGACGAGGGGGGCGCTCGAGGGAGACACAGAGAGAGCCGGGGGGGGGGAACGAGCGAGAGAGCGAGAGAGGTAAAGACACGCAGACCGAGATCGCGAGGTCGAGAGAGAGGAAACGAAACAGAAGGCGGGAAGGACTTGGGAGGGGAGAAGNGGGGGGGGGGGGGGGAACGAGCGAGAGAGCGAGAGAGGTAAAGACACGCAGACCGAGATCGCGAGGTCGAGAGAGAGGAAACGAAACAGAAGGCGGGAAGGACTTGGGAGGGGAGAAGGAGAGAGAGCGGGGAAGAAGTTGGCCTGAGATGATATTGGTGGCTTGTAATCAAGCACCTGCCGCGGACGAGCCACTCGTTCGCCCGATCGTTACTTGCTGGCCCAGATGCGATGCAAAAGCGACGGGCCTTGCCGACACCCCTCACCATTGGTGTAATAACGTATCTCACGAAGAAATCTCTCTCCGTAACCAGTTCAGTCTAGAGTTTTCTTTTCACACGATTATTGTTGAATGGTAGATACAAAGGCCTCGAAACCGCTGACAACAAACATCAACGACGACGAAGTGCCACAATATATACATATTATTACTTCGTCCGCTCTCGCTTTCCGCAGTCCTGAACATGCTGTTCTTGCACTCCTACAAGCTCACGTTTCTCCATCCTTGTTCCTTTCTCTCTTTCTTTCGTTCTTTCGTTCTTTCTTGTTTTATGCCCCCCTTTCGCTTCTCTCCGTCTCTTCTTCTTTCCGTCTTTCCGTTCTTCCTTCGTTCTTTCTTTCTTTCTCGTCGTCCTTGTTATTTTTTTTGTCTTCTTTGTTCTTCCCTTCTCTTTTTCGTCCTTTCCTTCTTTCGTTCTTTCTTGTTGTATGTCCTCCTTTCCCTTCTCCCCTTCTTTCCGTCTGTCCTTCTTTCCTTCTTTCCTTTGTTCTTTTCTTTCTTTCCTGCTGTCCTTCCTTCTCTTTTTTGTCCTTCCCCTATTTCCTTTTTTTCCTTCCTTCCTTCTCCCTTCTTCCGTTCGCCCGCCGTTTCAGGACGGTTCCGCCTTCGTGAACTCCGCCGGGGGCAGGGTGGCCGTGCGGCAGGAGATGTCCATTACAGACAACGTCTCGCAGGTACCAATGAAACAAGAGAAACGCAAATCTCCAGAACAGATCACACGTCACCGAGAAACTAAAATATATATTGAACCGCGAAAGTGGGAAAAGGGCTGGCTCGACTCGGTCGTCGCACGAAAGAGTAGCACCGGCCGTACACAGGTTTCCACTTTTTTGTTTTTTTTCAATGGGACGGCGAACCGCTCAACGCTCGCACGCACCCGGGCATGCGCTTCGTTCTGGGTTTGTCGCTCCTCTTCTCCTTCGCATACGTTTCCCCCATGTCCTTCACTCACGCGCTTCCCTTTTGACATTCTTTGTCGCTCTCTCTCCCCGGCCGTCCGCGTCTTTGGATTCGATGGATTCTCTCCACCCCAGGAGGAAGCAAGCAGCGTAGCGGGAGCGGTCTGGAACCAGGCTGATTCAGTTGTGTTCTGTACGGCAATGATGTCTTGGGAAGGAAACAGGTGTGTTTGTGAGTTTCCATTCCCCTTCACGTAACATCCTCAACTGTTTATTCCCTGCCGTTTACGATTCTCCCTTCTTCTCCACCCACACCCTCGTCCATGCACACGGAACATGGGAGGACCATAACGGGAAGCAACCCTTTTCCTGTTTGGTTATTGTGCTTGCTGCTGTTTCGTACGCCAGAGCCAATTGCAACCCAGAACCTTATTCCGTCACGCAGATGCTGCGCTGCGAAATATTTCTTGGCCTCGTCCTTCGTGGCCGTGGCAAGAGCGAACAACTGACACAAAGTGTCGTGAAGACCACAGCTGTTTTTCATGCTGGGCAATGGATGTCATTGAGTTGAGAAAGTTCCACGTTGTTAAAACAACGGGCAGGAGCAGCGCTACATAGAAACACCCCCCTTGGAATCCGCATGTGTATGTTTCGTATTGTGTAGAGTGCTGACAAACGGTTCACAATGGTACATGCGTAAGTAATCGCTTCCTACCCCCCTCGATCGCGCTTGTTGTGTCGTCAATATCTCGCAATCCTGGCATGCACCAGTGGCTACCAAGCTGGGGCCCTGTTGAACGCCGGCAGGATGGTGTTCCGAGGGGAGGTCAGCGTTCGAGACAACACCGCTGTCATGGATGGCGGGGGCTTTATCAATGAGTGAGTCAGTTGAATGGACCAACAACGATACATGTCAATGAGTGAAGTGAGTCAACAATATATGTGAGTAAAGTCAGTCACCAAAACTTCAGTCACGCTAGTATGTCAAATGATTGTTGTTGAATGAGTGAGTCAAGTAACAATCGTTGCCAATGAGTGAATCGAATATCACATTGTTGTCAAGGAGGAAGTCAATGAACACCTGTATCAGTATGTCGACGATCACCATTGCAGTCAATGAACGTTCACCTGTGTCAGTCAATACTCACTCGTTCAACGCTTAACCATACAAACAATCAACGAACGTTCACCTGTGTCAGTCAACAATCACTCGATCAACGAGTACCAGTACAACACACTTCAAAGCTCAATAAAGCCACGACGAAAGAGATGCATCAACAAAACGGTCATTTTGGAAAGCGTTTGACGAGACGGCTTCAATGCCGCCGTTTCCGGCGCTGCTTCCAACGTTTCTACTGTTAAATATCGAGCTTTGGTTGCGAATCTCGAGCGTTGAAAACTGGTCCGCGGGTGGGTGTGCAACCTCGCGTCGTTACCGTAGTCGATGAAAAACTGTTCTCAAAAAGCATCTCGATGAACATAATGGTTGTGAAAGCGTTTAACCGTTGAACACGGGAAGTAGAGGGAACACCGCACCGGCCAATGAAACATATTCGAGTAAGTTGATCACATCAACGGGTGAATCACTGACGTTAAGATTTTGCAACACGGACAGTCATGCATCACCTGTATCAGTCCATGATAACTTCGTTACTTGAAAGTATTTTTGTGATTGAGTGAGGTGATGAACGTCTGTGTCATGTCATGAAACCATATCGGTAATGAAACCAAACATTTCCCATGTGCGACCCTGGTCGATAATTCAATACGTTTGTCAACGAACCAGCGAGTGATTCCAAAGGTGGATTTTTCTGGGGGGACAACAATAACACACGTTTTAAATGTCAATAACAAAAGTCAATGAAAAGCGTTGTTGTCAAATGCATTACTTAAGACACCTGTGTAATAAACTAGACTGAACACTTGGTTCAGCCAACAGACCATGCGATCGATGAGTGAAATCTGTGAAAGCTTTGGTTGTTGTGTTCAAAGAGTGAGTCAATGACAAACTTTGGTTGCGGATGAGACGGTCATTGGACACGTGCAGTAGCAAGTCTTCGAACACATGTATCAGTCGACGAACCCTATATTTTAAGGGGAAATGGACAAGTTGGGTATCCCCACGCCATTCTCGGACGAAAGTGGGTACTCGAAAATCCAGCGCGCGCGCACTCCCAAGTCAACCCCCAAAAGACTCAAAACCCCATTCTGACACCTGAGCGACACAGCCAGGGACTGACTATACACAGCACGGGCATCGATTGCACAGCACGGGCATCGATTGTTTCCCACGCTCAGGCACACTTTCGGCCCTAATACCGCAGAGGCGCGCAAGGCCTCACCAGAATGCCCACTTCTGTCCGACGTCGCGGTGGGTATACCCAGCGGCGTCAACTCTTTTTTTCACGTGTTATGTTTCGACCCCCTTTTGTCCAAATTGTACCCACTTGTGTCCACTTACGGACGGCGGAAATCGAGCGGAAATCGACCTCCACGTCACCGCACGGCAGAACATCGAATAGCCTCGGAACGTCTCAGAACCTCCCGACACCGTATCCATGGCATCTTTCCTATCTATGGCTGCCGACTGCGGACCGACCGCGGAGGAACATGTCAGAAACATGCCAGGCCCCTTCGGTACCGGCACGGGAGGATACCAGGCACGGGCAGATGCCCGCGGCAAGCCCGGCAAGCAGCGCACTAAGCACAAATAAATGCGTGACACACACCGGACAACAAAACCAACGGGCGCGCATACAGAACAAAAAGACGCGCATACAGCAACAACACACACACGCGCTACACACACAAAAACACCATCCACCACGACGAGTGCACACCAACCCGTGAGGGCAGCAGCAGCATGTCGGGCAGCTTACGACGTAATCACATGATGGTATTCATATGCACAACACGCATATGGTGTATACGAAGTAAAATCCGGCTCGATATCCCCTTAAAAAACCTAACCAATGACAAGACGAAAACGGACATCGTTCGAAGCCGATCACTTCGTGAGCTCGGCAACCAGGTTTCCGTTTTTGTTTGCCTTTTTTGTTTTTTGCAACCATGAAAAGTGGTCCGAGTAGATCATGTTGTGCGGGGTCGACAACCCTCACTCCGCAGGAGGTAATCGCACCACCTTGTGTCAAATTGGTCAAGCACCCTCGAGGCAGTGACACAGATCTTACAACTGTCTCTGGAAGTGGAAGCACCAGAAAGTGCTGTCATCCGTACACAAGGAAGAAAGTACAACCCTTAGCAGGATGCAGCGCACCCTTCATTCGACTCGCCGAATATCTCACGGCGCTTCGCGCTTGGTGATGTGAGAACCTGGTCCGGTGAGAACCCGGCGTGCCCCGTCCCGGCTTTGTAGGGATGCGAGGTCAATGGTCTAACGACTAAGGCATGCACGACTATGAGTACACCCCGTCCCCCTTCTATTTTCTCTCCTTCGCTTTGGTCTCTCCTCCTCATTCTTCTCTCCTTGCTCTATGCTTCGTCCTTTTTTTTTTACTTTCCCCTCCCCAGGAGTGGAGGGAGGATACTGTTCTTCCACGGCGCCGAGTTCCTGTCCAACGTCGGGACCGGCAGCGGAGGCGCGATACTCAACCACGCCGAGCTGGACTTCGCGCCCGGGGGCGACGACAGCAGCAGCAGCAGAAGCACCGACGACGACAGTAGCGATGAAAGCACGACCCGGACCTTCACCCTTGACTTCCAAGACAACTACTGCGGCGAGCAGGAGGTGAGAGAGATGCGTTGATAGCTGAGCCCCGGTGAAAGTGCTATGCTGTGATTTGTGCGTGTGAATGTTTACCACTGCTGGAGGCGTGTACGCGCAACTATTCCGAAAACCCCGCGCCCCCTCCCCCGAAAAAGAACAACATTTTTGTATCTGCATGGTATCGCGACGTTTTTACGGCATCTGGAGTTTGCTCTGTGGGAATCCATGACCTGAATGCAGGATGAGTGTTTACTGTTTCTCTTATACACGAAACACTGTGGGGCTGGCTGTAAGAGCGGTGTTGACCCCCAGCTCTCGGCTTGTCGCGGTGGGAAGGAAATTTGCATCGAGTTTTCTTTCCAAAAGTACTCCCCTCTTTGTGGGGATACTGCCAATACCCCTGCACTCGCTGCTCTATTCTGCCCTCGTCGCCGGTAGATGGGTGACGGCTTGTATCCCACCCGATCGCCGAACACAACCGGCACCCATCCCATCCATGATTTCATACCATCCCCTCTAGGCGGCCCATCATTCCATACCATATTTCGTCTCGTACAGGACGGCCCCGTAGAGATGAAGCGCGAAAATCTTGTCGAGGCTTAAGTTTCTTAATCGCGTCGTCACTGTTTCGTATTTTTCGTAATCGTTTTGAGCCTCTGCTTGTTGATGAATAGCAATTCTTAACTGCGGTCCTGTTTTGTACCCCCGAAATATCTTGGTCCGTTTCAGTGTCAAGACATCCAGAACAAGGACGGGAGCTCAATACTGGGGCTCCACCAGTACGTGCCCGACCTCTGCGACATTGGGACGCAAGATATCGTGGCGACGTGACCCCAAGGAAGTAAGGGTTGCAAGGGAGGGAAACAGTTAGAGTCCGTGGTTCATCGCATCGAATGGAAACGAAGCACGGAAAGAAACCCATGGCGAAGAACTGATTGGGGCGTGGGTTATCAAACTTATCTTACAAAATACACGCATGGTCCTCGTATGTATGTATGTGCGTATGCCCTGTTTGGGGGAGGGAAAATGATCCAGACAACCGAAATTCATTTGCTCACGCAGGCGCGGGTACAAGTGCGTGTACCAACCGGCTTGAGGTTTGCGGACTTGTGCGCGCTTGAGTGGGCGGGCGAGGCGGTAATTTGGCCAAGGCCGTGTTGGAGAGAATAGCGAAACAGGAGCGAAGTGACAACCTTTGGTGTGGGGCGTGTGGTGCGGGGATGGCTGGGGTGTGATGTGGTGATGTCTGGTGCGTGGAGCGGTAGAAGGGGGAGGGCGGGGGTTGGGTTGCCACCCAAAAGAGATACCTGATATAGTTGTCTACAAACTGTATATTCTTCGAGCGAATACGAGGAAGTTGGGCGGCGGAGAGCGAGAGAGAGCGAGAGAGAGAGCGGGAGAGCGAGAGAGAGAGAGAGAGAGAGAGAGAGAGAGAGTACGGGCCCGTGGTCCTTGGAAAACGGTGCATGGAGATGTTTCTGCCTTTCATATTATTGTTATCGTTTTACTTTTTTTTCGAATGTTTTTTCGCCGTGTAAGACTCTTTTGGGTCGTGTGGTGTCTGCTACACCCACCTCTTTCCTTGCTGTTAGATCCTACATGTTTGTCGCTTTTCCCTTTCGCGTTTGGGGACGATAATTTTTACAACACAGTAGGTAGCGGTAGTACAGTAGTAGAGATTGTGCCCTTTGCCGGTGGCTGATCCAAGCGACAGAGAGAGAACGGCGGCAATGGTGTCTCAGGAATGCCCCATTTCTCTTCTTGTGTTGCTCTAGAAAACCTTGCTTTGTTTGTGTGTCAATGGTGCTGTCGACCCCTCTTTTTACGGTATGCTTTAAAGGGAACGATTGTTTGTTGATGTTGCGGCGGCAACGATTTCGTTTGCCCGGCGGGGATATGTATGTGCGGTGGGGTGTTGTGTTGTGGGTGACGTGTGCGCTCTCCCTCCTGTTCCTGTTGGTTTTCCCTTTTCTAGATGCTGTTGATATGTGGTGATACTCTTTCGGGATTTGTGTACTGGTTGGTTGTCCATACTCCTCTGTATCATAAGTCCTGTTGGCTAGGTTTGCGACCTCGAAGTTCACTGCCTGCCATGGTTTCCGGACCTTTGAACATGATTATTATGTTCTTTCACGGAGAGTGTGCAGAACCCACGGAAACATGCACGCCCACGCCCCGGCCGCGAGTTGGGAGAACACGAACTCTCAGGTGGACCATTGAGCTTGCGCCGAGGTCTACTTTGAAAAAGAGAGAGGAATGAGCAGAGTGGCGTGCGCGTGAAAATAGGACCCAAGAACTCTGTAGCCAATTTTATTGTGTACATGCGTATACTGCTGTTGATGATGGGTAACGGCTGATGCGGACGACACGTATGTATGTCCGCTGGTTCTTGTAGGAACCATCACCGAGTAGTTACCTGGGCCGCGTGGAGGTGAGAGTCGAAGGGGTGATTACAAAAAATAATGCCCTTCCCGATGGGTGGTTGGTGGTAACGCGAGGCAATCGGGGTGGCTACGATATGGCATGGCTGAAATATTGAAAAGTCTGCGCCGTAACGTAGTCTACTTAATAAGTTAAATATAGCTGTCATTGTTATCTTGAGACCCAGCAGTCGATCAATCAACTTGGTCCCGCGCGGGACAACCAGGAGAATTGCTCGCGGTGGTTGCTAAATAAATACTTCTTGACGTGGAGGTGTTGTTGTTGTTGTTGTTGTTGTTGTTGTTGTTTCTCACATTAGCTCTATAGTCAACAAAAATGGGGAGCCCGTGGTCTCGAAACCCGGCACATACGACGCCGCGGGGAAACGAAACCAAAATAGGGTACAAACTGCTCGGAAAGAGAAAACAAAATGATAGAAAAAAAATAGGAGATAGACCGTTCGAGAAAAGAGCCCTCGGAAACCGATAAAAAAAAAAAATAAAAAAATAAAGGAGGACGCTTCCCACACCCGCCCAAAGAAAAAATCAACGGGTAACGTACCAGCACCAGGCACTACGCAGCAGGGCATGGGAGTGACGGAGCAAACAGGACAAAGAGGCGGCAGATGGGCAGACAGCCAGACGTACAAAAACAAAGGCAACAGCAAAAGCGAAACAAGGTACCCAACACAGCAGAGTAGGCAGGGAGGTCATGAAAAAAAGAAACACAGCACAGAGGCCGAAGGCAATACAAAGGACATACATAAAGGAGTATAGCATGCAGCAGCGAGGGAAACAGGGCGCAACAACATCAGCCGGGTACATCGTTCGCCACAAGTGCTGCCTCGGCCGCCCTACTCGCTTCTACAGCAGTGCCCGGTCGCCGTTTTTTCCCCCGCCCCACCGCCGCTTCCCCGGCTCTCTTTCTCTTCGGTCCTGAGATGGCCGTACTCTCTGCTTCTGCTTCCCTCGCGCGCTGGCGCTCCGCGGACGCTTCTGCCTCCTGCCTGTGCCATTTCCTCATGAACCATGCCGCCCCGTCCTCGACCTTGTTGTACCACACCTCCGGGTCCTTGGCGCTCTCTTTCCATTTCCCCCCGTCCTTTTCGTCTCCCATGTTGAAGGCCGCGAGGTCCTCTCCTAAACGAGACACCCAGTCGCTCTCCTGCCCGCCCCGGTATCCTACGCCCCCCGCCATCGCTCCTAACAGCATGCGCTTGGGGAGGCGGCTGTCCTCCATGCGCATAACAAAGCCCGCGAAACACAGTCTCTGTTTGCGCACGGTGGCCTCGATGGTTTCCTCGCAGCCTGCCTTGATGAGGGCCTGGGCATAGGACAGGGGGCCGTCTGAGCGTTTCCGCTTGTTGTGGAGTAGAGAATTGCGTCCCTCCCAACATACATACCGCCGTAGATTGGGAGTCCACCTATTGCCTTTTCACGGTTTTCCCTGCCTTTTCTCCCTTGCCCTTGAGTCGGCCCGATCTGTGCTCCTTTGTTCAGAGCATGACTATGGACGTTTACGCCAAAAGTCCGATCTACGAGACTAGTCTAGACTAGACTTACCTAATAAATGGTTGCGCGGAAGCAGGTAGCCCACGTCGCTCCCCGATTTTGCGCCAAAAAAGAGTTCCCACTCCATACCACCATAATATTTGCTGCATGCACTGACGATGATGCTGAGCTTCTCTAGCTGTTGAACGGAGATTTATGCCCCATAACATCATCACCGAACTCCACTGACCACTTATCTTCGCGTCCGTCCCAAAGATACAAGCTTCACAAATAGCCTACTCATCCGGAGGGTCCGAAGCAAGATATTCTACTTGTTGTATTGATCTCATATGGACGAGAGCTTTCGGATTGTTCTCACTCCAAGCCCTATGCGTCAGTTTTCAATAGAAAGATACCCAGTGTGCAGCTATGGAGATACCTAAAACACACAGAACAGACGGGCAGCAGTGCTGCACAGCGCACAGCGCGAGCAACAGTCAGACAGGAGTGCTGCACACTGGCGGGAGATTGCTTCGCGCCCCCTCGCAGTGCGGATCCCCTGTACACCTCGAGAAAAATACCAGCCGCGGGCCCCCTCCTGCAGCCCCGCCCAGCCGGACAACCCACGACCCGTAACACAGATACCGACACAGACGGAGAGCGAGGGGCAGAGAGGAGCTCATCTACAGAAAGAGAGAAGGGGAGCGAGAGACAGAGAGCGAGAGTGAGGAGAAAAGAGAGCGTCATCAGGTGAGCGTGTCAAGACGCATGGATACTCCGCGTTTAGCACAAGACCTTCGTGCCGAGGATCGCTACTTTGGTTGGGACGTTCTCTCTGGATGGTGTGGCGTTTGTTCTGCCAAGGACAACTGAGCCACGGCAGCTTAATACCTGGATCTAGCAAGAGGCAACCGCGTAAGTTCACACAGACCCGCTCGGGATTCTAGTGTGAACTTGCGCCTGGCGTTCGCAGGTACACAGCACTTCCAACTCTGACACGCGTGCAGACGTGCCATCGCCGAGGCACGCTGTGTTTATTGCTACAAGTGAGCAGCGCAGTGGGTCACGGCGACGAAACAAGCCCGATGCGTGCCCGCTGCTGTGCGCAGGGATCAAGAAACAAGGGGTGTTACGCCAGTGAAAGCAAAAGGACATGCAAGAGAGGCTATGCACGCTCGTCCAAATGGTAGTTGTCCTCCAGAAGGCATCCGTTCACCGGGTCTTGTGTTTTTTTTTGTGCTGATCGATTTTTTGTGCCGTTGATAAAAAAACATCCAGCCGCACATGTACAAACTCTGCAGCAGGCAAGAGACCCTTTGACACTGTAGGAGCAACCAATCAACTTCCCTCCCTGTTCAGAAGGTTAGGATTTGCTCACTGCAACGTAAAAGAGCAGTGTACGCCTGAATTAATTTCTTCTTCTTCACATATGTAGAAGGTATTTTATCAACCGCTTGTACGAAAACACAACACACAACATAAAAGTGCTTTGTGTTTTCAACCGTACTATGACTCACGTCTTGTCGTTGGTCAGCCGGTAAGCGCGGTCGATGCTAATAATAAAACACAGACAGCCTTAGTTCGCCTGAAAGCTTGTATACTATCAGGATTCGGAGACGGTTTACCTTCGAGCTAGCTCGTTTTCTGTCGATGCGAACTCGCGATGTGTTCAAACGTCATGGGCTACTGATCGACCAACTTCCACCAGGGACAATCGGTTGGGATCTCTGCGACAACGATAGTAATGAGGTAATTCTTTTGGGAGTGACGGAGACGAAGGAAAGGGAAAGGGAAAGGGAAGAAAGAAGGACGAAGAAGACAATGAAGGAGGAAAACATGGAGGAGTGGAAGAGAGCAAAGGGTTTGAGCCAGATGACCTTCCCCAGAACAAAAAACGTAGGGCTAGGGAAGAACTGTCCAGAGATTCTAGTCAAAATGAGGATCAGAATGATGGTAGCGAAAACCAGGAGGATAATAGTGAAATTACTCCTAAACGAAGTCGAGTACAAGGTAATAGCCTTGGTAGACGCGTGCAATTTTCTTCTGTTGCTGCTGTTTCTGTCTTTGATCCGAACGATAGTTTAGCCTCCCCCATGCTGCCCCCTCACGGGGTCCTAGTTCATGGCTGATAGAAGTGTTTTGTGTTTTCAACCGCACTGAGACTGACGTCTTTTCATTGGTCAACCGGTTAGCGCGATCGATGCCAATAATAAAAACACACCATTTGTGTGTACGGTACGCATACAAGAGTTCTCTGTTTTGGCATTTTTGCAATTGTTGCTTGCCTTTGTTACGAGGCATTGCTGGCTTTGCTCCCTCCTGAGAGTCTCGCTCCGGCTTCATGGCGCACATACCGAATGTAATATCGACATGTTCATATTTGGGACTGCTGTTTGTAGATACTGTATTCGTTTCTCTTTGATATTTGATGATACCACAACATTTGGTTGGTATACCACAATATGACCCCTCTTGGGGTTACTATCTACTTTGGGTGCCGTAGACGACACAAGATAACACACCCACACAAGAAACCACACCCCCCACAGAATACGATACACCGATGATAATTTAGGGCGCTTCTGACAAACTATCGATTTATCACCGGGGCTACATTAGATAACACACCGCTTGACGTTGCGCCGCAGGCTCCTCCGTCAATACCGGGGTGATACCACATCTGCCGCTTGAGCATGCGGGTACCTCACACTCACGACATCTGCGTAACTCTCTTTTGGTCGTACCCAATAGCAAGGTATGCAGGAGCCTACTGTTTGGTGTGAGGGGGCAGGACGGATGGCGCACTTTGTGGCCACCGAGTCATGTGCTCAGGAGTTTCGTCACCTCCGTTGAGCTCCATGGTTTTACAACATTCCGCAGAACCACAAGTCACGAAGTGTTTGTACAGGCATGGCTATCACACACCCGCAATACCAACCAAGTGTGCGGCAGCAGCGGTTCAACTCTACAAGAAGTGCTATGACACGTTTTTATTTTTATCACGCCCCCTCATCCGCCCCTCCCGGGGTTTGGCATCGGGGTTGGGTTTTCGTCGCTTGGCAACGACGTTGTAAAGT